TTTTTTTTTTTTTTTTTTTTTTTGAGAACAGGCGAAAATCAATGCGCGCGCGGATGTCATCCATAAAATTAAGTCGGTGTGGCCTTACGCCATTCTTATAGCCAGGTCAATTTTCGAATTTCTCCGACTTTTAACGATAATTTTACCTTTTAATGAATATGTATTCTTATTCATATAGTCATCTATCAACCAACCATTCTAACAATCAAAAATAGACCTATCGCTTGATCAATCAATTTAAACATTTACTATACAGTATGATACAATCTAATGTGAAATTTAAATCGTAAAAGAAGTATATCTCTTATTCTTGCCTTCTGCATTCGAGTTTTTTTTATAAGGAATAGGATTTTCAGTGTAATCTTCTATACAAGCATGGGATTTATATGTGTATTTTATAGAAGATTACCCCTTCTAAAGTTAAAGTGGACTTGCCCTCTCACAACATGCACCATTTGGTACGCAGCTGTTGATCTTGCAGTGCATGCAGTCTTCACCCTAGTCAGATCTTACACACAGGGTGACTGCTTCAGTAGAATGGAACATTGGGTACATGTAGATATGATGACAGGGCGAGCTGGGCGGGAAAAAGGAAGTATTGAAGCCCGGGGTCGCACGGGTCAGGGCACCAGTGTGTTTATTTCCTCTGTCCACATGTGAAAGACTGTGGGTAGTGTGAAGTCATGTCTGAGTACACACATCTTAGGAAGGGCCGATTTCCTTCATTCTGGTCGCGTAGGGCGTATGGGGAGTTGTTTTTCATTAAACTCCAAGCAGATGTATGGTTCTGAAAAACTTAAACTTTTCTCCAACTCAAAATTTGACTCACCAGAAATTTTCGACTGAATCACTCAGTCTTCCTCAGCTATCTGACCCACATGCTGTGGACACGTGATTTTTCCCACGTGTGACGTGGGAAAACGATGGTTGAAGTTCAACCATCGCCCAACCGGGACGGGGGCGATATCGACTTCAGACAACCTTTGACCCTTTGCTGACGTCACACGTGGAAAAAATCACGTGTCCACAGCATTTGGGTCAGATAGCTGAGGAAGACTGAGTGATTCAGTCGAAAATTTCTGGTGAGTCAAATTTTGAGTTGGAGAAAAGTTTAAGTTTTTCATAATGTAATTTACCAACTCAGATGAACTTTCATGCAGACGTATGGTTCGTTTTTACTGAAAGAGAAATATAAAAACAGACGTTTAAAACTAATAAATGGTATTGTATTAATGTGCTGGGATTTAATAATTTTCCTGAGACAACAGTTTTTTTTTTATTTACGTTTGGACATTTGTACAAAGACAATGTGGTGTTGCGGTCAAGTTTAAAACTTATTTGAACAATCGATACTTGAGTCAAGAGGTTTATTTCATAGATAACATTTGGACATATCATTATTGTATCAGATACCCAAAAGGGGGAAGATTTTTGTTAATGTTTGTTGTTGTTGTTTGTGCCAATAAGGGATATGGTTGTTTACCTCTGTGTTTGTCCTTTCAGCAAGTTGAGAAGACCCAGCCTGTGTTACTGGTGCTGACTCTGTCCGGAGTGAAGGTGTGCAGTCCTGATGGAAAGGTAGGATTATTGTGGTAGACTTGCGGCTACATTCCAAAACGTGCCCCATTCATTCCAAAACGTGCCCCATTCATTCCAAAACGTGTCCCATTCATTCCAAAACGTGCCCCCATTAAAAAACGTGCTCCATTACAAAACGTGCTCCATTCCAAAAACGTCCTCCATTCCAAAATGTGCTCCATTCCAAAACGTGCCCCATTTCAGAGCGTGCCCAAAAAATTGCCGTGTTCCAAAACGTGCCCCATATTCCAAAAGATGTTTCCAATTTCCGTTGCTTCGTTCACGTGCCAAGCTTTTTTTGGGTGTCAAATTCATGATGTGTCTTCCGTTATCATAAGTCATGACCGCACCATTCATGCATTGTTGACAAGTAGCGCATATTTGTTACTTATTTATTTTTTATTTATTTAATCTTCTGACACCTGGGTGGTCTAGTTCAATTTTCGATTTTCAATAGGGCCCAGTACAAAATACAATAAAATCAAAGATACAGATACAAACAAAGACCGATATAAACAAATCAGAATCGTTATCCATAACTCATGTCGATTGAACAGTCGATTACTGATCTAAAATGTCGATTGATGCATGTTTTTTTCTCCCACCATACTCAGACTGTTCACATGGACCACAGTCTGAAGCGGATCTCCTACTGCACGTGTTATCCCGAGGAGCGGCAGTTCGCTTTCGTGGCCAGGAACCCCGGACAGCTCTTCAACGACCAGTATTGCCACGTCTTCATCACCAGGGCACAGAAAGAGGTACACTCACAATTGAAAATCCTTTTCAGAGCACTGGAGGTTATACACTATATACATAGCAGGGTACTAGTAGCTAAGGAAAACAGGTTACGTAGAAACAGTTGCTTTGTAGAGGACTCTTCGCATTGCCCCCCCCCCCCACCACCACCACCAAGAAATTCGTTTATTTGTTTATTTCGATACCCTTTAGTCTAGACGACTAGTCTACCAGGGTTCAAAACATATAAACATACTGACAACAAAATAAAAGAGAATAAACATACATAATCATCACAAATTATATACAGGTTAACAAAACGATCATAACTTAACTTAATATATGCAACTTAGCTCATGTACAACTGGTGTATGGCCTTTTTGAATTGATGTGGACTGGTCAGTTTTTTTATACTGGGTGGCAGGGTGTTCCATAGATTAATGGCGCGGTAAAGAAATGTTCGCTTTTTGCTGTTTGTTTTTGTTTAGGTAGTTTGAAACTGCAAGAATTAGCAAATCTAGTTGAATACTTGTGGGTAGAATGGACGGGAACAATGGAGCAAATTGTTCCTAATGATGTATAGAACATGTTGCAAAGTTTCATGCTTTAACCATAACCTGAGCATTTTAGTGCCATTCACCTTGACGTTTTGTCTTTTTAATCATACTTAACCGTGAATCATATTCCTTACAATCCTTAAAAGCAGCGTGCCGGATTAAGAAAAAACTCTGGCCCATGTAGGTTGTTTAAAGTTCGGTCAGATTTCCTAACCCATTTTCGAACACATCATGTCCTAGGCTAGCCTGGGTACCATCCGGATTTTCGCTACGCAACGCGTGATTTTTTCGAGCGTTGCGTAGCGAAAATCCGGATGGTACCCAGGCTAGTCCTAGGCTGAAGAGTCGATGACAGATTTCCTAACCCATTTTCGAACACATCATGTCCTAGGCTGAAGAGTCGATGACAGATTTCCTAACCCATTTTCGAACACATCACGTCCTAGGCTGAAGAGTCGATGACAGATTTCCTAACCCATTTTCGAACACATCATGTCCTAGGCTGAAGAGTTGAACGTCATCATCGGTGAAGCCTTCAAGGTGGCGTTCAGCCAACAGAGCGAAGCCGGGAAACAGGAGAGCTTTAACCAGCTGGTGTTCGAGCGGCAGCAGGAGTTCGAGGGGCGGTTCATCCACTCCAGATACAGCGTCAACAAGAAAGCCACCAAGGAACAGGAACCAACCAAACGCAACTGGGTGGGCAGCTTGTCGTTTTAAATTCACTTTAGGGAGTCATTCTATTACTGTTTGAACTAATGGAAGATAACATTCGCAACTTTGACCAAATCAGTATGGTGGCCTTGAAAATATGTTCTCCAGCAATTAGAAACAACTATGTGGAAAATTCGCATGAATAGATAAATAGAAATAAAAATAAGTTTTTAAAAATGTTATTTAGCTACGTGTGTGTACTCAACACAACGTGGAGCTATCGTCATGACAGATAGATAAAGCGATGAAAAAACACGTCACATCAATGTCAATATTTTGCAAAACTTTGGGCGCAGTAAAAGTACATTTGTTTGTGTCATAGGTATTCACTTTTTACCTCTAACAAATGACGATTTTGCTATCTTTTTAGATATTCATTCATTCATTTATTTCTTTTTTTTTTATTATCCAGTTTGGCCGGACCAAACGCCGAGCGCCGAGCCCTCCCCGCACCACGTCACCAGTGGCCACCATTTCACCTACATTCGGCGAGATACAAGTCTCGGTAAATATGTGTATACTTTCAATCTTATAATTATGTTTACCGAAGGAAATCATATTGTTTTTGCTCCATTTCTTCCTCTTCTTCTTCTTCAAACAGTGACATATGACCTGACCAATGACATGATTTGTTGACGTCTGTCACCATAGTGACTGGTTTTGGGTTACATAATGTTGCAATTTCATGGTCTTGCTCTGCTCCTGTCACCATATACTAGTAGTACATGTATGTGAATGTGTTTGAGTAAGAATTAACAGAGCATACCATGTCCGAAGGTAAACATTATGCATTTGCTTTGCAAATGTTACTTCTCTAGTTCACTTGATTTTTTTTTGTTTTCTGTATCCATCCTTATATTGACCTTCTTCACTACAATTCCAAGGGGGTTAAAAAGGTTTATACTAGGCAACAAATATCTAGCCATTAGCAAAATATTTCACGTGACAGGACTTGGTTATCAGTTACTAAACCGCTACTGTAATTTCTAGCTCATTCCAGCTTCTATTATACGTCGTATGGATTTATTTGCAATGTCCTTGCCCGTGCGGATAAAGAGCATTTATTTGAAACAATGGCAGAAACACCCGAAGTTTATTAAGATTTTAGCAATTTGGATCATTTAATGCTTATTGACGTTTAACCTCTCGTAATATACTGTATGCTTGCAGGTGTGGCCACCGGACCAATAACGTTATCCATCAACCAACTTAGGCCACACCGATTTAATTTATGGATGACATCCTCTGAAGACCCCCAAACTAGTGCGCGCGGGCGAATAAAAAAAAATTCCGGCCAAAAATAAAAATGCTACTAAACCACAGGAATACAAAGCTGGTATTGTGACAGTACTTAGCGACGTATACGACAAGCCGGCACATGCTGGCTTTTTGCGGCATTTATGAATCGGTAAAGTTACTGTACTTAATATGTACTGAGTTCTTGAGTCGTGTGGAGCTTTGAATTCGATAGCCTGGGTGCTCGGCTCCGTTTTGTCGTTGACCGTAGTACCATGGACTACCCATGCCTAGAGCGAGGCCAGAGCCTCCGTGGAGGTGATCTTTTTTTTTTTTTTTGAGGGCGACAGGTGAAAATCAATGCGCGCGTGGATGTCATCCATAAAACTACAATACCAACTGCCCAAGATTGCGTAGACAAGTAGGTAGTTTTGACTTCCTAACCTGTACCTAATGCTACCGCAGTGCTTGTGTGACTTAACCACTGACATTTCGCTCCTACCATATGGCTGTTCCAGGAATCCATTCCGAAAAACGGTCATGTCCATATTAGGATTCAACAATTCGAAACCAACCACTCTTCCCCAAAGCCTGTGCCGAAGCCACGCCTACACAAGCCGACCAATCAGGGGATGGCCAGTTGTCACGTGATGCCGTCAGCCCCTCCGCCATTGGATACTTGTATGAACGTGGTAGCCAATCAGAAAGGGACCATGAACACCAATGGGATGATGAATAACCAGGACTACCGTGGTGCTCTGTGGTACAAGGGCAACGTGCCAAGGTATCAGAAATAAACTTGTACATGTAGATTAGCAAGATATAATATTAATGCTGATTATTTATATGTGTGATCAGTTCTTGTTGCCAGAAAGATCAAGAAATACATAACATTACTTTCATGTTTTATGGCGTTATACGCCGTATGGTAAGGTAACTACATTCTAAGGATAAGCGAGAAGGAAAAATATTCAAGCGATACTTTTGTTTAAAAAACACATTGTTATCATTGAAATTAATGTAATTGGTCTGATAATAAAAGCACATTTTTCTGAACTGAGAATTAAATTTGCTGATTCGAAAACAAGATAAAAAGATAACTTGGAAAGTTATCATGAAAGTTCATCTGTGTTGGTAGTAATCATAGTAAAACGTTGAACTTTATTCCAACTGGCCGTAGTACTAGAAACAGCGAGATGCTAGACTGTCCGAGAGCAAGAACGAATAGATATAAGAACTCACCTATACCGTTTATGGTCAGCTCCTCAATAACTATGGACTGAACCCCTGACTGTTGTCTTTTTTAATGTAGTACAGTGTTCTGTATCAAATGTTGTCCGGGAAATTCATAATGTATGAAACATGTATTTTTATTGGTTTGTTAATCGTGCGCCTATATTGATTGCAAACATTTAGTTTTAATATACCAATGGTTTGTAAATTGGTTTACAATTCAGTTGTTTTTAACTGCGAAAAAACAATAAATCCATCTTGAATCCAACACACAATTTACACAGAGTTGTTCTTGTGCAGGGAGATGGCCATGGCGGAGCTGGAGAGACAATGTGCCGGTGCCTTCATGGTCCGAGAGAGCGGCAGCAACCCGGGATGTTACGCGCTGTCGCTGAGAACAATGTCCGGTATCAGTAACTACCTGATCGGGAAAACTGACAAAGGATACACTATCATGGTACGTGTGCTAACCTTCTAAAACAAACTACAGTATATTTTATATGTATAAATCTTTCATATTTCGAGTGTAACAGTCGCAGTGGTTTGTAAGTATGCTGGGCTGTGTACGATTTTCAGCTTTGTAGCCTTTACTTCTGAAACAACACAGGCGATCTAAAAGAAAACTTATTTGATGACAGCGACAACCACAAGTTTTTCTGTTTTGTCATAAGACAGCATATCATAGTGCAAAATTGTTATGTCATGTTGTCCTAAGCAAATGTTCACCATGATTTTTCTTCTCTTTGACCGTCGCATATCACAGTGAACAATTGTTTGAAGACGTGTTGTCTTCAGTAAATGTTCACCGTGATTTTCCCCCTTTTTGACTGTTGCAGGGGTTTGGAAAGTCTTTCCCGGACCTGCACACGTTGATCATCCACTACTCCGTGTACGCTGAGATGCTGCCGTGCAGACTTAGGATGACCGGAAACTACGACAACCCCGTGCCTTACTAAAATTCAGGGACTACCATGAAATAAATCCGACCTTTCAACAAAAAAAATCATCCCCTCCCCGATTTTCGGCCTTCCTCAGGATAGATGACCCACTACTACAGACACGTGACTATACGATCACGTGATTCATGTAATGAGTCAAAGGTACCTGGAAGTGTGTGTCGCCCCCCGTCGGAATATACATCCGCGGAGGGTTTCAACTTTACATGGTCTCCCTTTGCCTCAAATAGGATATGTGCATCAAATGGTGTATGTACATGTATGTATGTACCTGGTACTAGTTTGGTGCCTTTATATTTTATCAGCAAACACAAACAACTGCGTAAGGTACTTGAGTATGATGTGTGACTTATAGATCAACACAATGCTATAATATAATAGACACTGTCCACTTAAAATTTTCACAGACATCTACATGACTCTTCATTCCTATGAAGGTTGTATGAATGAATGTTGTATTGAAATATTAAAAATGAAGTACAAAATATGAACTTCAGTAATACATAGATATTCTCTGTCAGATTTGAAACCTTTTTATTTTGCGTAAGTCTAGATGGCATTCAAAATATGGTATAGTCAAACAGCAGTACGTGGTTACCAATTATATCACCTTTGCTAAAATGTAAGTTATGTATGTTAGTACTATGAAAAATTTGTATAGCTAACCAATCTTTTACACGTTGATAATATTGAACATGTACAGTCAAATAATTGTAATGGTGAGATGCAAAAGTTAGATGAACAAAACTGAATTTCTTCATCTCACACATACCAACACCTATCAACATAACTGTTTTATAGTCACTAAGATTCAAAGTATAGTCTATTTACAGTGTTTACCTTGTTTTGCTTATTGGCCCAGTTTCAATTTACCTCAGATGCAATGTAACTTGTACTGATGCTGGCTGAAATGCATAAAACTGTTTAACATGTGTAATAATAAGATATCAATGTATGTTTCAAACAATATTTGTATAAGCAGTGTAAACAATAGGGTTAATCATAAATGCGAGGGATTTCAGCTTTCAAAGTTTATTTTATTGTGATTTCATTATGAGTCACATAGGATATGGCAGATGTAATTCCAATAAAGACTAAGATATGACTGCTGTATGATTTCTTTTGAATACTGGATTCACAATCAACTTGGAAAACAAAGTAAGGATTCCTTGCCTATAGTGCTGCATACCGGTTCACTGGACTTGGATCCGGACTTGTAAGAATGTTTAGGTTCAAGTCCAAAAAAACCTTAAAGTCAAGAACCGAGTCCGGACTTATTACCATAAAACTCAAGACCATTTCACATACCCCTTTTCTTTCCAAACCACCTAAAACCTTCCGTAGATTGCAAAATCTTTGCTGCAAAATCAAGAAAACATTGCCATTGGGCATCGTCAAGTACTGGCCTCCATGTTATGTGGCCAAAGTTTCACCCAGACAACATAGCAAGGTTGCTAACATACAATTTTGTATATGCCATGGGTTTAGGTACGGACTTACAAGTCCGGAACTGAACCTAAACCTCTGGACTTGAATCCGGACCTGAACCTAAATGTGGGTTTAGGTATGCACCACTACTTGCTTATGTAGTCTCTTGGTTGCAGAAAAATTGACCCACAATAATTACCTGAATATAGTGGTATTAGCCCCCCCCCCCCCCGAAAAAACAACAACACAAAGCTGTGACCACAAATCAGTACAAGGGTCAAGCCAAGCGTCAAAGGTTCTATTAAGACTATTCAAATAGTACTGCAATTAAAGGATGTACATATCTGTACACTAGTGTACAGTGTAAACCAGTCATTTGAATTTTTACAGTGTAAAGGACAACTTTTCCACAATATATTCGGAACTCTCTTCCAAACAGATGCTTTCCATCCGACTACAATCCACAAAGCTTCAAAACAAAGGTCCACCGCCATCTCCTGACATAACTACATTATACTCACTTAAGTACCCCTAGCTCTATGCCTAGAAGTGGCCAAAAATAATTGGCCTTGCATTGACTGATTGAGTAACACCGTTAAAAAAAAATAATAATAATCCTTGTTGTATCATATACACATAACTTTTATATATAAATGTATGTATATGTATAGCTATGTTTACACTTCACATAATGATTCACATTATACAGTAGGTGTACAGTATGCTACACTACAGTTCCTCAGCTCCAGTCCCTGAGGGTAACAGGAGTGTTATCATGTTTGGGAACTCAGGGGAAACCTCTAGCATGTCCTTCTTATGCACTTTCCTCATATGAGAAAGGAGGTTGGATCTATGAGCTGTTCTGAGTTCACAGTCAGGACAGATGTGGGGTTTCTCACCGGTATGCTGAACCATGTGTGACTTCAGACTATATTTTCTGGCTGCTCGGTAGTCACAGTGGTCACACTTGTAAGGTTTCTCACTGGTGTGTGTTTCAGGGGAAACCTCTGGCTTATCCTTTTTATGCATTTTCCTCATATGAGAAAGGAGGTTGGATCTATGAGCTGTTTGGTGTCCACAGTCAGGACAGATGTGGGGTTTCTCACCGGTATGCTGAACCATGTGGGACTTGAGACTATATTTCCTTGCTGCTCGGAAGTCACAGTGGTCACACTTGTAAGGTTTCTCCCTAGTGTGAGTTTTTATGTGGGTCAGTAGGCTGGGCTTGTACACGGTTCTGAAGTCACAAAAAGTGCACATGTACGGTTTCTCACCGGTGTGTTTCGACAGCATGTGCTGTTGCAGCTTCTTCTTTTCCACTGACCGGTAGTCGCAGAGATCACACCTGAACCGCCTGTCTCCGGTGTGAGTTTTCCTGTGTGTGGCAAGATTGGATACATCCACAGTCCTGTACCCACAGTACTCACACATGTGGGGCTTCTCTCCGGTGTGGTGGCGTGCCACGTGTTTGACCAGGTGTGTCCTATACGCTGTTGCGTACTCGCACTTGTCACACTTATGCGGCCTCTTCCTGGTTTCGGGGTGGTCCGAATGTCTCCACATGTGGTTCCTGAGGCTAGCCCTGGTGACAAACCGTAAACCACAAACGTCACACATGAATGGCTTCTCCCCACTGTGTCTCATCTTGTGATCTTTTAAGGCACTGCTTTGGGCTGCGGAGAAATCACACTGATCACACTTAAAGGGCTTCTCGCCGGTGTGAATCCTAGAGTGTTTTACCATTGCATTCCTCTTTCCTGTCTTGTACCCACACTCCTTACACTCAAAGGGGTACTTTCCGGTGTGCTTGAACATGTGTTGGCGGAGGTCGGCCCTGCGTACGGTACAATACTCGCACTCTGTACAGTTGAACAACTTCGCTGGAGGTGCTTTCTCTGTGCCGTGTGTCTTCTTGTGCTGCGTTAAGGTACTGCTTTGTGCCGCACAGAAATCACACTGGTCACACTTAAAGGGCTTCTCTCCGGTATGAACTCTGGAATGTATTACCATTTCATTCCTCTTTCCTGTCTTGTACCCACACTCCTTGCACTCAAAAGGGTACTTTCCAGTGTGCTTGAACATGTGTACGCGTAGGCTAGAACTGTATGTTGTAGCGTATTCACACTCCTTACATTTGTACACCCTCGAGCTCTCTAGATGTCTTTTCCTATGTGATGGTAGCTTTCTCTTGCTGTCTGTGACAAAGTCACACTCCTTAAATGCCAAAGTCTTGTCAGGGACATTTTGGACTGCATCTTCATCTAGATGACTTTCTGCTGCGTTCAATTCAGACTGGTCAGGAACAAAGTCTTCATCAGAATCACTGTGAGCATCTTCTCCACTTTGATAAGTCTGGCATGGCAGTAAAACTATCCTTGCTGGCAGAGGGACTGTCAGAGTTTTTGTCCACAGTATCACTAGTATCAGCTAAAGCCTTGTCAGGGACATTGTCAACCATACTAGTATCTTCATCAAAATGACTCTGTTCTGTTGCATTCAAATCAGACTTTTCAGGAATATAGTCTTCATCAGAATCAGTGCCTGGATCAGGAAGCTCATCTTCACTTGATGACTCTGACATGGCAGGGAAACTCTCCTTGCTTGCAGATGGACTTTCCTGAGAATTTTCAACCACAGTATCCTCTAAGCTCTCCTTGTCATGTGTACTTGCATTCACCTGTTCACTTGTTTCTGATTTCAGACTCTGTTCTGTTGTATCTTCTGTTTCTTCCTCGCTACTTGAGTTACCAAACTCTGTAGCTTCAGGAGCTTCTGTGTCTATAGGGCTTTCTTCGGGGTGTTTCATGGAATAGTGCTTTTCCATTGTCTTCTTTTTAACTGCAGAGTATCGGCACATCTTGCACTTGTATGGTTGGCCTGACTTCTTTATGTGGGACTCAATGTGCTTCTCCATGTCTTCTTCTGTGTCTGTGGGGTTTTCTTCGGGGTGTTTCATGGAATAGTGCTTTTCCATTGTCCTCCTCATAACTGCAGAGAAACGGCACAGCTTGCACTTGTATGGTGTGCCTGACTGCTTTATATGGTTCTCGATGTGCTTCTTCATGTCTTCTTTGACAGACGTGCTGAATGCACAGTCTCGGCACTTAAAGGGGCCTTCCTTGACATGTCTTAGCACATGTCTGTCCATCGTCTTTTTCTTGACTGAAGAAAAAGTGCACTGGTCACATTTGTATGGGTTCTTGACATCGTGGATCTTTGCTACATGTCTCATCAGTAATTTTTGGAGATTAGTGCTGAAGCCACACTCTTTGCAGATAAACTCGCCAGCCTGAGTCTTCGTGTATTCATCATTTCTTTTGGCATACCTTGCACTGTAAGGTTTGCGGAAGGGTGCTGCCTTCACCACTGGACTTTTACCTGGGTGTGTTTTGATGTGGCGGGCGAGATCCCACTCGCTAATAAACATGTAACTACACAGATCACAAATGAAAAGTTGAGTGCCTCTGTAGGGTATGGAGCATTTAGCTAAGTCTGACTCTACATCTACTTTTTCTTGGTTTGATGGTCCAGGTTGCTGCTGTGTCGTCTGGGAAACTTGTGTAGATGATTCGTGGCTTTCAGAGTTTGGGCTTTCTATTTGCCGGGTTTCATTCTCATCACTGTTGGCTTGGTTTGTGGCTGTTACTTGTACATGAACTGGGCTGTCTTCAGGATCTGACTGTTGTGTTATTCTGCATATCATATGATCTGTGGATTCCAGCTGATCTTGTGTTACGATCCCTCCTGTCTCCTGTGATCCAGTCACACTGGGATCTGTGACTTCAGGGTTCACTACACGAGTCATCTGTTCAGTGGGACCTAGTGGCCCTGTTGACATCATCTGAGCCATGACGTCACAGAACTGACTAGAGTTGGCTCCTATATACCCATACCTGGTGTCATCCTCACCGTGACTGTCACGGCTCATCTGTGATTTGTCTGCTACGTTGTTCCAGGATGTTTTATTGTGTTCTTCCATCTTAACTGAAATAACAATAAAAAAAAGTGACATACATGTAAGGCAGAGCAATGTTATTAAAAAATATAGCACATGTACACCTAATAGAACTACTACGTATACAGAAATTCAAAGAATTGACAATACATAGATAAATACATGTGCTAGTAAAGCAATGATCTGCCATAGAGTGCACTGGATAGAAGTATTATCATTATCTATTATGAATAATTTTTCACAAGAAGCAGGGACATTACATGTTATCTCTATATGAATTATAATGTCCTTGCAAAAAGTATACATCCCCCCTCTTTATTACGTATTACCAAGGACAAAATGTCCTTGGTATTGTTATTATAACCGCTATAAACGAATACATACATAATTGTATGCATAATTATATTGTGCTACATGTACATTGACTTAGGTTCTATGACATGTACATTGACTTAGGTTCTATGCCTATGTAATCTGCATTGTACAGAATTGTAAAGAACTCATGTATCCCCCTGGAATTTACCTCCTTGATTTTGCACCTTTACAATTTTTTAAGACACATGTTAAAATCCCATGGACACACGTAACAGAACAAGGGCGGCTTACACATAACGTTATGCACGAAAATAAAGCCAACAACGCCTAATATGATAAATACATTTACTGTACTTACCCAGAGTTAATATTGAATCACGGTTCTCTCGTAGAATTTTGTGAAATGGCACAGAATTTGCTCCAAATAGCAGGAGTTCGAGTTCGATACAGGCAGGGATTGTACAATGGCGGCTCTAGAAAGGGTCAAAGGTTAAATTGCTATCCTGATCACCTATGCAATGTCGAATGAAAAGTCCACACGGTACGGAACGTACAGAAGCCGATTACTTAGTAGTTACAAAACGCTTTGTATAGATTCACAAAAAAAAAAACGTCACAAGAAACACAATAATAACAGCACCATGGATAACGGTGTACTGAGAGAGAAGCGCCACCATACGGGCATAATTATCTCCGTAAATAATTTCATCAGGTTGGTACACGAATGAATAGCAAAGTTCGAATTCTTTGATCACAACCATGTAACACATTTAGTGCACTATGCACCAAGTAACATCAAGCGTCAGTGCATAGTAAACCAGATGAAGATGCCCTGATGAAGATGACAGACGGTCATCGAAACGTCGGCTCGGGAAAATAAATGGTTGTGACCAAAGGACAGAATTATCATTGCCATTATTCAATGCGGAAAGATCTTGATTTCTTAGCCGTGATTGGTCGATTCAATAATGTAGAGTGAGGGTCTGACCGTTTTAAAAATCTATCCAGTTTATCGTAACAATTTCCTTGTGTATCTCATTACTTGGATTTCTAACCTTCATCGACATAGCTGTCCTTGGTCCTGAACGCTATCCATACACATAAGCAAACACACCTGCCCCTGGCATTAGGGTCAGGAGAAAGGTTTACAGTGGGACATTGCATTTAGGCCACTCCAAGTAAATTTTATGGATGACGTCCGCGCGCGCATTGATTTTGGCCTCTTCCTAGAAAAAAAACCCAAGAAATTTCGCTTCCTGTAAGGCCATGTTGATTTGATTATATGGATGACATCCTCTGGGAACCCCAAAATTGATGCGCGCGTGCGAATAAAAAAAAAGTTTTGCAAAAAAAAAAGTTGTTTTCATTATGAAATCTACGTGGTCATGAGGGTTGAACAAATGGGACAGAATATGGTTTGGCGAATAATCTAGTCTTCAAGTTCATTTCTTTACAATTTCGTCTTTTTTCGTTTGATTTTGGCATTCTACGACATTGGTATGTTTTTTTTGTAACTTACGGTATATTTTTTCTCATTTTGCAACTGTTTTGTACGATTTACAGTATGGTTGAAAACTTTTTTTTTTTGAAACGGCCGAAAATTCATGCGCGCGCGGATGTCATCCATATAATCAAATCAACATGGCCTAAGTGTGACCAAAGAGTCAAGACAGTGTCGCAAATCGTCAGATTGACGTGAAACCCGTAACGCGAAGAAAGTGTCTATTGACAGGACCATCCTGTCAATAACAGAAAATTTTTCACTTGATTTATTGCTGTTTTGATGATGTATAAAAGACTTCTTGCTTGTTACACTGTGTCACCTCATTCAATTTGTGTCCTAACATTTGTTGTCTCTTAGTATATTTCTAATCTAGGCCCTTCTTGTTTTTTTTTTCGCCCTCTCGCATTAGATTTAGGGTCTCCAAAGGACGTCATCCATAAAATTTACTTGGTGTGGCCTTATCAGTGTTTGTGGGGTGGGGTGGATAAAGAACTTGCCAACCTTAGAGGACTGCACTATAATTGCCAAATTTATGTTACTCTGGTCAATATTGACTAAATTAGGCCTTATGTTCCTCATATTATATAACGGCATTTTTAAAACCACGCAGAACTAAGTCAATATCAATATCCTAACGGTGCCTGCCAAAACCAGCAGGCTGGGCAAAGTACGACGTTGGGAAGGAGAGAAAAGTCATAAATTTGTAATCTCCAAGCAGATCTTTTGGTGGGGGTAAGACAGTATAAAATTGGCCAGTCTGTAACCATTTCCCCACCCTAGTTGCCACGGTGGTGGTAGAGACAAAAAAAGGGCCATATATAAAAAGCAAACGATCTTCCACCATCAACCTCTGCTTGGAGAGTAATAAATTTGGCCTGCTGTGATTTGGCATGTACATGTATGCCAAGTGGCGCCAAAGGTAGCTGACCCCGTGTTTGCGGTTACTTTGGTACATTCTTCAAGGCACTGTGCTCACGTAGCGTACATATAGGTTTTGCAAAGTAGCAAGATCAGTCAGTCTACTTTTTGTTTCCTGTGCATTTACAAATTCAAGTAGTGCGAAAGGCTCTAACTCAGGTCAGTACCCGTCCCTTTGTTTGTTATCGTTACAGCATTTCGGTTTTGTAAATTGTATGGATAGTAACGCTTGGATTGTGGGGTGCGTGTATCTTTAACTCAGTTTAGTTTATTCTTAATTACTAAACTGTCTGTGGCACGTTACACGTATATCTACTAAATATAAATTGACAAATAATATTTGTCAACCCAAGGACATTATACTATAATGTCCTTGGTCAATCCTAATATTAGGGACTGTACGATATTTACCGGGGGGGAGGGGCTGGTGCACTGGGGGGAGGG